ATGTTGTGTTACAATGACCATAATGGTTAGAATAATAAATACAGACACTGATTTTTTTCTATAAAAGAGCAAACAGCAGTTCAGCTACCCAGCATCTCAAAGAAGGCTGCTTTATTTTCCCCAATCCATTCCATTCAACTGAGACTCCGTTCAAGGCTCAGGTTAAGACTGCACACTTCCTATAGGCATCTGGTTGTTGAAATTACAGGAGATGCAAAGTGCTCTCCCTCCACCAGATGGCAGCAAGACCCCAAAGCAGACTCTGGTCTCTTGAGTTGTTCAGTGTCCAGCAAAAAAATATCATGAAATCCAAGGGAAAACTTTGAACTACTAATGACTGGTTTAGTGTCCTTGTTTGGTTTGCCTAGAAATGGCACAGAATAATCAGTGCACTCTTTTTTAAATTAAATAAAATATATAAATATTTATTTATTATCATATATTTATTCTTATAGTCTGTATCTAATTAGTATAATAAGTGTGTTGCTTACAATAAGCACAGCTTCCTAGTATGCTTTGCCACCCCTTTCAGTGATGTTGTTCAGCTAGTATGAATGTGGTGCTAGGGGCAATCTGTTCCACTGGTGCTCGAGAGAGTAGTTATCAGTATCAGAAAAGAATTGTTGTTTCCAACAACAGCAATAAGAGAACCCTAGAGATACACCCAGTGGAAGAGAGGATGTAAATTCACAGCCTGACATAAAGGCAGCCTTTAAAAGCAAGTTTATGAAAATATATTTGACAAAGATACTAACGCGACATCTGAAATTGCACATGCTAAAGTGGTAAAGCATACTCTGAGACATGCCCTAAAAGATGGAGGAAGAAATAACTAAAATAATAATAAAATGCCACCTTTCAATAGATAAAACCAGTGGCGTAGCATGGGGGGTCCAGGGGGGGCCGGCCGCACCGGGCGCAACATCTGGGGTTAGGGCAAATCCACAGGTTAGGGGGCGCAAATCCACGGGTTAGGGGGCGCAAATCCACGGGTTAGGGGGCGCAAATTACTTGCCTTGCCCTGGGTGCTGACAACCCACGCTACGCCACTGGATAAAACCATGCTCAAACCAGCTTACAACATGAAAAGATTTACATAAGTACAAAAGTAGTCATAAACAACAATCAAAACACATCAAAAAGCACAAGACAAAATTCCCACATAAAGCACAATAAGAGCTAAAAAAAGATACAATAATTATTACAGGCAGTGAATATTTTGTGTGGGGTTCTGTACCTTGCCTCATGTGCGTCGGTGGAGAACACATAACCCTGCCTTGCCCCATTATACCCTGCCCTTTTCCGGGTTCAAAAGGATCTGCACATCAGCGGTCGCATGCCAATTGGACACATGCAAAATTGGTTCTGCCTGTATCAACAACAACAAATTAACAACCCCCCAAAACAATACTCCAACCCAAGAGTCCGATGGGCAGCCTTAGCTTTTGTAGTTGGAATCCATCAATCAGGCCTCACCCTCCCAAGCCAGATGGGAAAAGGCTGACAAGGCAGAGAGCAGGTCTTCCAGGACTCACAGCCAATAGATACAGGCAAAGCCTGTTGTGAGGTGCAAAGCTGTGGCATTAAAGGGGCAATTGTGAGCATCAGTCTAACTCCCCAGATAACAAAGCTCTCCCGCTTCTATTCCAATGCATCTCCCTACCCCTAGAGAAGACTGTTCACATGTACCTGTGGAGGAACCCCAATGCGTCTGCTGTGGAATCCCTGTGCATTGCAGATGAAACTGCAGCATATTCTTCTGTAGGGCAGTCGTCTTCAGTTGGCTTGTACACAATCTGGGTCATATCCAATCCAATGCTCCATGAACTATCTCCTTTTAAACAAACAGAAAGAAAGAAGACGGAGAGAGAGCATGTTGTTTCCTGCCAGAGTACAATGAGAAACCCCCTTCCATTCCCCCACATACAGAAGCCAAGCAGCCTTGCAAATGGATCATACTTCAGCACAGGCCATGGGGCGTGTCATCCACTGTACCCGAAGAGAGCAGGCTTGGTTACAGGGTGCAGGCTACACACAAACTGCCCTGTATTTTGAGCCCTTGCCACCACTTGCTCATTGATCTGCCCAGCACCTGCCTGCTATTGCTCAAACAAATGCTGTAATACAGGAGTGGCCCTGTATGATGCCTGCTGTTTTGTGTGGCCAGGTGTGTTGGGCTTGCTCTGTGTATGGTGAGTGAGGCCTACCAGGTGCCCTCATCTATATTGGTAGCCAGATTGAGGCTTTCCTCTCACTTGGGCACTTGACAAATAGGATTCAGACTTTATATTAGTGTGACAGTACATCTCCCCCACCTCTGTGCAATATAGTGTTTAATGTACTGATTTGATTGGTTGACCCTTTATAGCTGTTGTTTAACAACTGTAAGTCAGCTAGAAACTGCTTTGTATTGGGCAACTAGCAAATGTAGCAATAATGATTTTTAAAAATTGTGTTTTATTGATTACACGTGGAGTAAAAAACTAGGACACAACGAAAACAAGCCTCTTAGTCACCCCACCCCACCCCATTCCTCATGGAGCATTGCTGAAGGATAATGCAAGGAAAGGAAAAAGAATTTAATCCAGGATGCTGCTCCAACACCTGGCATGTGTTGCAGATTATATCCATGTTTTTACGATGATGAAGTTATTATTACTAATACTAATTCTTATCCTTTGGTGATCACCTGTAGCCGAGTAAGATTGTCTTCCATAAACACGGTCTTAACAGTGAGTCCGTAAGGGACTGCGGAGGCGAATTCTGGATCCACACGTCCTTCCACAGTGGGGACATAGGTTTCCAGGTGGGAGTAGATCATGGTAGGGGTTTGCCAAACGTGCCTTCCTCTTAGCGCGTTTCTCCTTTTCACTCAGAGTTTGTGCTTCTTCAAAGTCCATGACACCTTTGGTAAAGGCTGTTCTCCAATGGGAGCACTTGCAGGCTCCCATTGTTTCCCAGTTGTTGCTGCTTATACTGCATTTTTAAAGACTTGCGTTGAGCCAGTGTGGTGTAGTGGTTAAGAGCAGTGGACTCGTAATCTGGGGAACCGGGTTCGCGTCTCCACTCCTCCACACGCAGCTGCTGGGTGACCTTGGGCTAGTCAAACTTCTTGAAGTCTCTCAGCCTCACTCACCACACAGAGTGTTTGTTGTGGGGGAGGAAGGGAAAGGAGATTGTTAGCCGCTTTGAGACTCCTTCGGGTAGTGATAAAGCGGGATATCAAATCCAAACTCTAAACCTCTTTTGTTGACCACCAGTATTAAGCTTTCAATCTTTAAGTTCGGAATAGAGTAGTTGCTTTGGAAGGCAATAGTCAGGCATTCAAACAACATGACCAGTCCAACGAAGTTGATGTTGAAGAATCATTGCTTCAACACTGGTGATCTTTGCTTTTTCCAGTACACTGGCATTAGTCCGCCTGTCTTCCCAAGTGATATGTAAAAATTTTCAGAGGGACCGTTGATGGAAATCTTTCAAGGAGCTGGAGATGGCGTTTATAAGTTGTCCATGTTTCACAAGCGTACAGTAAGGTTGGTAGTACAATAGCTTTGTAAATAAGCATTTTGGTTTCCCTGTGAATGTCCCGGTCCTCAAATACTCTGCACTTCAGTTGGGAAAAGCTGCATGCGCAGAGCTCAGACGATGTTGGATTTTGGCATCAATGCTGGCCCTTGTGGAAATAACTGCCCAGGTAGGAGAAGTGATCAACACTTTCCAATGTTACACTATTGAGTTGGATTTGTGGCACTGCAGAGGAGTTGTTTTGTGCTTTTTGGTATGGTACTTTGGTTTTTGGGATGTTGAGCGATAGGCCAAGCTTTTTGTAAGCAAATATATCTGGGATAGTTTCCCCAGATTTGGAGATACTGCAAGCTCATCTCTAATTTGTTTTTGGAGGATTTGTGTTAGGACCTCTGCAGCTACGGGGGAGTTGCAGTTAAGGAGAAGCTGGTAATGTTATTTCCAATGCAATGCAATAGCTTCTTTATCTTTTTGAAGTGTGGTACCGTCTGTTGGGAGGGACGCGGGTGGCGCTGTGGGTTAAACCACAGAGCCTAGGACTTGCCGATCAGAAGGTCGGCGGTTCGAATCCCCGCAACGGGGTGAGCTCCCGTTGCCTGGTCCCTGCTCCTGCCAACCTAGCAGTTCGAAAGCACGTCAAAGTGCAAGTAGATAAATAGGTACCGCTCCGGCAGGAAGGTAAACGGCGTTTCCGTGCGCTGCTCTGGTCACCAGAAGCGGCTTAGTCATGCTGGCCACACGACCAGAAGCTGTACGCCAGTTCCCTTGGTCAATAAAGCGAGATGAGCGCCGCAACCCCAGAGTCGGTCACGACTGGACCTAATGGTCAGGGGTCCCTTTACCTTTACCGTCTGTTGAGCGTAGGGGGCATATGTCCCATAGATGGTCTTTGTGGCTTTAAAGAAACTGTGCATCATGTGTGTCGGCTAAGAGAGGGATCTCTTGAGCTTTTTTATCCACTGGGAATTCTTTAGGTCTCTAGTTCTCCTCAGCCTAGCATTAGTAATAATACTAATGTGGGGTAGCGTTTTGGACCTGGGAGATCTGAGTTCAAATCCCCCTTAGCCATGAAGTTTGCTTTGTGACCTTGGTCCAGTCACAATCTCTCAGCCTAACTCAACTCACTGGGTTATTATGGGACTAAATGAGGCAGGGGATGTGGAGGGGGAGAAGCATGTACTGGAAGCTACTGGGAAGGTGGGCTCTAATAAATGCAATAGATGAGGCAATGCCTAGTTTGTGCTAGGTAATTTCCACAGCAATGCCTTCAAGCAAACTGCACACACTCTCTCTCTATATATACAGTACAGTATTCCGTTTTCCCGGAGAGGCTCCCACTCAGGCAGGCCTTGACCCTCTCCCGCTCCCCGCCAGCCTACAAGGGGCGCCCCCGCCCCTCTTTCCTCGACGCCCCGCCCGCTGCCCCCTCCGCCGAAGAGCGGCCCTCCCTCCGGGCGGACCCCGCTCAAGCCCCTCCTGCTCCAGTCGGCAGCAACCCGGAAGCAGGCGGTGCTGGAGTCGGAGCCGTTTCCTGCCCGGGAGACAAGCGGCCAGGGTGGGATCTGTTGCAGCGGACCTGATCCGGAGCCATGACTCACCAGACCGGCATCCACGGTAAGGAGAGCGGGGAGCCGCTCACCCCCCCTTTTGCCTCTGCGCCTGGGCAGCTCCTTGGCGCCCGCCCGGACCCCGAAGGCTGCCCCGAGCGGCCCGCCGGACGCCAGCTGCCCCTCCACCCGTGCAGCCGCGCCCCGCTCCGAATCTGCCTTTCCTCTGCCCTCCTCGCCCCTGTGCCTTGCTCGATGCAGCCTTGCATCTCCCTTTGCAAGGCAGCAGTTAAACGAGCTGGATCCTGTTATTATAATAATAATCCCGCTGTCTGTTTGGAAAGGGATGCTGCACCAGCGGCGGCGTCTGTTCTGGGGAGGCTTCTGAAGCCCAGAGGCATCCGTGCGAAGGTGGCTGGCTGGCTGGGGGACATGCCTTGAATTGAAGGCTAACTGGCTGCCTTGGAGCCCGGAGATCTCGCAGGCTTCTGGTGTTTCGACCTTGCACCCCCCCACAAGGCAATGAATGCCCCCCTGAAGCACCATTTCTCCCAAATGCCTGACTAGCCCGCAGTCACCTGAGAGAATCCATTTTCTTAGGTGCTCGTCCAATGGCTGTAAAGAACACCAGTTTTCCTTAACAGAGTTTGCACAGTTTACCTGGAGCGGTTGGTTCTGGGTAAAAACTGGTATATTCTTCATAGCCCCTGCTGGCTTTGACTCGCCTGGATTTTCCAAAAAACACCACCACCAAACCCCGGTGTGAGGATCATCTTTCCTACCCAGCCCTTAGACCCCACAGATGCATATGTTCTGAATGACTGTGGCTCTTTGGGAGCCCTGAAATTCCTTTAGCCCCTTCTCTTTTACATGTGATTTTCATATTTGTGCAGCAGCTTCTTTCCTGTAAAAGCTGCAAAGGCACCCCACAGCACTTGTTTTGATGCCCAAGCCTGAGACGGCTGCTTCCTGAGCTTGTATTTCTCTGCAAAGGATCTGTAGCTAGCAGCTCTTCTCACCAGAAATGTGTCAGCCTTTCCTCTGCTTCTCCATTATCTCTTAACATGTTCGGCTCCGCAGCATGAATCATAATTGCAGGAACCATTTCCTTTCTGCGTAGCAGGCAGCTCCTTCGCTTCAGTGTTCCTCTCTGTCTCTGCCTTTAGCTTTCGCCCGGTGATCACACAAAAGATAATCACAAACATTAATCTTCTCAGGTTCTATATGCATGCTACGATGTTGCTGAAATGCAGCGCAGGATTGCAGCATAGGATGGCAGTACTTCAGAAGGCAAAGTGATGCAGAATGTACATTACTATAATTCATTAAACAATTTGGGTATGATGCATGAGAATTGTACTGATCAAATTACTGGTAACCATGGCAAAAAAAATAATCTATGCCCTTTGTCCTCCTATTTTTAACTTCTTACGAAGAATTTCCAGAGATAAAAGGATGCAGAATGTCACTCCAGGCCTAATCCAAACCTAGTGTTGTTTCAGTTTTAATCCTACAAAGAAAATGCAGACGTCTCATGTCGCGAAAATCTTTGCAGGCTGCAATAATCCAAGAGGGATTGATCGCTATGAGGATACAATTTGATATGACAGAGCAGCAAGAAATGTGATTGAAACCAGGATTATTTCTTAAGAAAGCACTCTGCAAATGCTCTCCTAGGTCATGTTTACACACCCATATTTAACCTTGAACTATTCTTTTGGGTGGGTTGGATCTCTGACGAGGATTTTCAGGGTTATCACAAGATTATGTTTCTTAGGAGTGTGATAAAGTGATGACCAGGATTTGTAAAATTAATTCATATTTATAATGTAGAAATACTGTTAAGGTAGGTGTTGGAGTACCTGAAGACCTGGCTGAATCAAACATCTGGATTTTACTGTAGGGAACAATTGTATGGGTACTGGTAGCTTTCAAACTTTTAATAACTGTTGTCTTTACATGTGTAATTCTGTAGTGGCTGCAGAGATCTTACAATTTCAGTTCATTTAGCAGCAGTAATGAGTTATTGGCCTCTGCAGCCACAGCAGATGCTATGATTCACCAGCAGTTTGACCTCACCACCAGAGGTGCACTCCATTGTCTCTTGTAATTTAAGGGTCCTTCATTAGTTTTGGATTAAAATATATCCTTGGATTTGAATTAGTTATATGTGGCAAGGAGCATATAGCTGACTCCAGAATGAACTATATTACATTTTTCTTCCGCATTTCTTTCCAAGAAGCTCAAGGCAGTGTGTATACTTCTCTCCTTTCCCACATCACCTTCTGAATAACCCTGCAAGGTAGCTCAGGCTGAAAAACTGGCCCATAGTCACCCCGTGGGTTTCATGGCTGAGTGGAGATTTGAGACTTGATCTCATTGGTTCGACTGCAGGTCTTTGACTAGTAGACCACATCATCTGTCACCACACACCTGCTACACACTTGTGTACAATGTCATGCTTGGAAGTAGATACAGGAGTATCATGGGCCTTCTGCAGTGTGTAGACATCAGGTGTGCTGAATCAACCTTCTGAAACCCGAGAGAGGCTCTTTCTGGGAGTGGCAGTAATTGTTCATAGTCTCATACACTGTAGGTGGTGGTCCATTAATTTCAGCATCCTAAGAACGGGACTGGACTTCAGGATATAACTGATTAGAGCCTTTGCTCTTGTCTGGCATCTTGTTCCATATGCATCATGTCTCTCAGTACAGCTATAGTTGCTTCTGGAATAAAACAGAACTTCTGCATGATCGTGGACTGATTTTGCACCCTCGGATCCACTCCTTCCTTGTTCTCTTGCTACAGGTCTGTTTACATGATGAAAGTTTGAGTGAGTGGTGTTCTGACACCTTGACAACACCTTCATCACTTTATTTGTGCAGTAGATTTTGCAGTTTCCCATAACCGAAAGCAAACCCACAGCAGATGAAAATGTGGAAGAACAGGGGTTTGCCCACTAGCTACTGGAATTTATTGCTTGTGTAACCAAACCTGAGGCAAGCCTATTGACTTGGATTAAGAACTGCAATTTAATAGTCCTGTTAACTACAGCATCTTTAGATTTTTTGTAAATGGGACCTGATGAAATCACAGGCTTGCGTTTTCTTTAGTTATCTAAATACTTTGATGCTTTGCCTGGGGAAGGTTGACTTTGCTTTGACATAAGTAATTTTTCTTGTCTCTATTTATTATGTGCTGAAATGTCTCCTAGGGTAGTTGACATATTTTTTAAATTGCTACAGAAGAAGATGCTGTGATGTAGCTAGGTATGGGAAGGGTTCATTTGAGGTTTTGTTCATTGTAAACAAACTGAAGGCAGAGATGGTGGATCGCTCTTCCCCCTATATAGTTTAACTACCTTGAAATCTCAATTGAGGTTTTAAATGTGCTATAAATTATGTAACATAATCAATATAAGTATGTAGGAGCTGGAGATGCTAAAGACCTCCTGGGTCAGCTTTTTCGCCACTCTTGACGATGCAGAATTGTTACCTACTATAGATTCTTCCAGGACTTGTCCACTTCAATTGCAGTGTATCATGCACTGATGTTTCCCCCCCTCCCAGCGGTCTTCAGGCGGTCTTCAGGCGTCTGTTGTGCAAAGCAATAGATCTTGAAGTACCTGAATGCTTCCTGTTGTTAAACACCTTGGTGAGATTCTTTTGGCAAGAACTTTACATTTATGGTCCCTATTACTTAGTGGCTCAACCACTACTACTTGGCAATGGAGCCAACTGTATTTTGGCCTCTGCTCCACAAAGAGTTTTCGTGAGAAGCAAACAAGGGAAATCAGTTTCCTGATCAACAAGTACATCGGAGAAGTTGGAAATGCTGTAATGAGGAACACAGGCTATGATTTCCTTATGATGATACTATCCTTAGAAAATGCTATCCTGATACATTTTTGTTCGTGTTTCATATTCTCATTTAAAGTGCCATAGGACTTTGGGATACATGGGTTCAATACTGATGATCTCCACAAATGTGTTAAGTCCAAGTAAAGCATGCTTTGGCCTCTCAGGGGTAAGAACCAGAGTCAGCACTGGCATGTTGTGCTTAATAATGCTCAGTCCTATATATAATTTCTGTTTCCTTTGTTTCTGATTGTAAATGAGACCACCAGACTTTGGAGTCCAGGACTCAACCTTCCATGCCTTTAAGCTAAAATTTAAATTGCTGTTATAGCTTGAATTTTCCTCTGTTGGGTATCTGAAATCGGACAGCAGCAGTTTTATCCTGTGTCCTATGCATGCCTCTTCAGAAGTAAACCCCACTGAGTTCAGTATGAATGACTTCCAGGAAAACATGTATAAAACTGCTTTACAGAGCCATCCTAACCATGTCTGCTCAGAAACAAGTTGAATTCAGTGGGGCTTACTCCCAGATCAGTAAGGTTAGCCTTGCAGCCTTAGTTGTCTTCCTAATCACATTCCACTTTTGTCCAATATACTTTTTAGGAAGTAAGGAGCATTAAGCATGATTCACTTTCAACATTGATATGTCTTCAAATTTGTCCCCTCTAGTAATCCAAACATTTACCTGTGTGAAGCCTCATTTAATTCAGTATGACTTATTTCTGAATCACATGATTAGGATTGTGCTGTAGCGCATTGAAGTACTAAAATGAATTTTTGATTCTTTGTTGTAGCAGACTAAAACAGCAACTGCCCCTCTAGAATTTGTGTTTTTGCAACGGGACCTTACGTTGAAGGGCAGGTTATAAATGCAGTGAATGACATGGAAAAGGAACAGTGTGAAAAACGAACATTTCTTTGCCTGCTAATGGAAATCCCCACTGGGCCACCTTGGGCCAGTAATTCCCTCTCAGCCTTACCTACCTCACAGGATTGTGGGATTAAATGAGGAGGGGGGAAAGCATATACACCACCACGAGCCCCTTGGAGAAAAAGGTGGGAAATAAATGCAATAAATAAAAATATATCAATAAAATGCAGTCAGGATTATTTGAAGAAAAATGTCCCAATTCTTTGCAGAGTTTTAATATCTAACCCTAACTGGGAGGGTCAGGGGACTGGAGCAGAATACAAGAACCAAATGTGGCTT